TGAGTACTGCAGTCGTCCTAGCTCGTGCTTCTCTGCTACCTGCTGTCCTGGCCCGGAGAGTGCCGGCTCCAGTTCTTCCACTTCTGGTTGCACCTTAGGGAGCCAGGGGCAAGGACAGGTGAACTCTTCCCCTGAGAGTGTCATCCTCCAGGCTCAGAAGCCAAGGGAGACTCACACATCTCTAGGTTATACCTGAGCACTTGCAGGCTAAGCAGAGTCAGGGTTCAATTAGTGATGTCTGCCACAGGCAGGGAATAACCATAACAACAGTGCAGTGTTTTTCTGTGTTTGATTAGTGATGTCTGCTATAGTTGGGGCTAGACAGTCGTAAAACAGGCCCCAATGGTCGCCTAGAAAAACAAGCGTAACTGTGTCTCAAGACCTTCAGGAAGGAGGCAAGAGATCTTATTTCACATGCTAATAGATGTATTGGGGATGTGCAAATTGCTGCATTGTTTTGACAAGGCGACACATGGAGGCAAAATGGCACATGTACTGTGTATTTGCCATTCTAAACTGGAACAGCAAAATCAGAAGACTTCTCCTTCACCTAAATCACCAATGTTCAAAATTCAACGTGAATCAGAATTCCCCTGATTAGCTCGGCAAAATGCCTTCACTTCGGAGACCCTTACACAGCAGCTTTGGTGCAAGATCCATAACTTGCATTTCCATGGGCTCCGAGGTTGATTTTCATGCAATGGTCTTTGGAAGTCACTGGCCTAAGAGATAGGGATGGAAACTGGCTACCACAACCCTAAAAGGCATCACTGATGGGTAAGAATTATAACAGATACCTGTTGAGAAGGGAGAAGGGCAAGTACAGTTATGGGCCACAAACTCGAGGCTCAGAGTGGGACAGTGAAACCCGCAAGGCTACACAGCTGCTCTCTGGCTCCCAGGTGAGCGCCACTGCTCTCTGCATTCCGAGACCTAACGCGCACTCGGGTCCCTGCACCTGCAGCCGTCATTTCCCACTCCAGTGGCTCCTTCCAACTCATGGTTCCTTCACCCTCCCAGGGCTGCCATATGACCTCCTCCCTGGCTCCCTTGCCCCAGGTCTGTCCTCCACATGGATTCCAGGGGGTTCCTCCTAACCTCCCTCTGACCCTGTCCCTGTCCTGCTCAAAACTTCCATGGCTCCCAGGTGCCTCATTACAGGGACACAGCTGGCCTTCCAGCTGCCTCACTCCAGAGCACAGGACATGCTTCACCCCACCATGGAAATGACTCGCTGTCCCCCAAATATGCTTGAGAACCTGGGTTCCAGGCCTCAGCCTATGCTCCTCTATTGAACTAGAATGTCCTCCTCTCTGTTCTCAGTTAGCTCTGTGTGTCCCCTGGCACTCAGCACAGAAGTCACCTCTCCTGGGAAGCTTTCTGGGACCTTCTAGGCCATCCAGTGTTTCCTCTGTTCACCCATACGCCCGGTCCAGCCTCTGATGCGGCACATACCACCTTGCGTTGTGAACATGTGATTGTCTGACTTCCCCACCAAACTGGAAGGTTCTTGTGAACAGTAACTAGGTCTGGTCCACCGCTAGGTCCCCAGGGTTCAGGAGGAGCTGGTCGAATAAGGTGGGCAGGGGAGGGAAAAGAGCAAGGACTGAGGCTTCTGGGCCAGGCCACACCTTGTCGATGTAACTCCGGCCCAGCTCCTTCACCTCCTGAAGGTGGACCTGGGTTTGGGCCTGGCTTTTCTTGCCCATCCGCCTCCGACAACGCTTCCGGTACAGGCAAAAACAGCAGCTGAAGACGAGGAGGCCTGAGACTAGCACGATTGTGGCCAGAGCCCAGGGGGGCACTGCAGGGGACATAGATACAACAGACATTGAGGCCCTAGGAGGTGAGCCCGCTGGTTCAGCCCCGGGGCCACGCGGAAGCTGTAAACCTGGCCTTGTTTTCCGTCCAGCATTTCTATTCCATTTTACTTTCCTGTTCCTTCCAACCTGTCTCACCTGTAAAGCGATCTGATGCCGCATGACACCATCAGATTCTTTTGCCTATCGCTCCCACTACCATTCTAACGTTTCTGCTCACTGGAAGCCTTAACATCTCCCCAGGCCTGTTTGCATTTCTTTAAAAGAGGGGACAGGTGGACTCTCCAATTCAACAGTTCAAGATCCCATTCCACTCCCAGCCCCATGCTCTGATTCTCGGGGTTTGTTTGTTTGTTTGTTTTTGTGTTTGCTCTTGTTGTTTTTTTGCATATCTGTTCTTTTTCCATATCATTTAGATTCCAGTCCAGGACTCTGACTCCGATCCCGCCCGGATTTTCCAGCCCGCCAGCCGAGAACACCCGTCCGAATCCCGCCCCTGGGAGTCCTGGCCGGGCTTTCCCTTTCCATCTGCTCCAGCCCCTAGTCTGGCTCACCAGGGCCGTGGTTGAGGCGACTCGAGTCCGGAGGCGCGTCAGGCGTTGGAGGCCCCGGGGTTGGGGGCTCTGGAAACATGGCGGCAGGGTTCTACGGTCCTTTCTGCGGAGGCACCCAAGCACCTTAGTCCCCCATGCCCACCCCGTGCAACCATTGAGTCCTTCCAACAACAAGGAACTCCAACTCCCATCGGCCCCCTGGGCGACAGGTCGCACAAGAATCGGTCTACCGCCGCGAGGCATTTTGGGGGTTGTAGTTTCCTTCTCCCCGCGACAGAGGGAGCGCTATGGGAGTGAATTCCAGCGTCTATTTCTATCCCAAAGGGACACTCCCTTGCTGTGAGGTCCCCGCAGGAATCCTGCTCACTTCCACCCTTTCCTTGAACCTCTCTAGGATCTGAATCGGAAGTGGCCAAAGGCGAGCGTGGGAACAAGTGCACCGGGGTGCCCAGGCACCGCCAAGCTCCGCTCGGACCGGATCGGAGCCAGGCTGGTTACCCCGGCAACGGCCCGTTGCCACGACAACGGGCGGGGCTGAACCAACCAAACCTAGCCCCGGCGGAGCGGTCTGGCTCGGCTCACTGTGGAGCCTTAACTCCAGACCCGGATACCAAAACGAGCGAGGGTGGGAGGGGCAGCCTTGCCCCTCGGTCCAGGAGCCCGCAGCTGGCCCTGCCTCCACATCTGGTCCTGGGGGCGGAGACTCAATCTCTTCCTCTTCCATTCTTGCGAGAAATGTGGGAGTAGGGGCTGCTGCCCTACTGTCTTTGTTAGGCCCCCAACTCCACTCCGCCGTTTGTCTCTCCCGCGCTTCCCAAGCTTTGTCTTCACACCTGTCCTTGTGACCGCCGCCGCCCCCAAGCCTCTGGTCCCCCTACTTCTCCTGTCCGTGCACCCATCATCCTCTCGCCGCTCCCCCTTGTGTCTCCCTTGCCCTGTGCCTGTTGTCTGGTCTCTGTCTCCTGGGATCGCTCGCTCTCTCCCCCTCCCTGTTCCTGCCTGTTTCTCCCTCGCCTCCTGCTCTTTGTCCCCACACCTCTCTCCCGATCAGGCTCTAGCCCTCCCACGCCCTCTGTTGGGCCCTCCCACGCCCTCTGTCGGTCCCTCCCAGGGTTACCCCAGGCCCCCCACAACCTGTCCGTCTAGGGATGGGAACGAGGACGAAGCTTAGGGAGGGGGTCCCCGCAGCTCCTTACCTGCTCAGCAAATGCACAGGACCCTCCCCAGGAGATTCTGAGGCGCCGGCCCCGAATGACGCGAGCGGTGGCGCTGTCCTCGGTGCTGATAGAGGAGCACGGTGGGGCGGGGGCGCGGCTGGGCGGAGATGGCCGACTGTGTGCGTGCGTGCGTGCGTGTGTGTTTGTGTGTGTGTGTGTGTGTGTGTATGAGAGAGACAGAGACACACACACACACACACACACACACACACATACATACACAGACACACAGAGGCGGCGCGTGCGTGTTCAATTGTTCAATCCCAGGTAGGTGGAGAGCCCAGTCCCAGCCCTCGTCCCGCCCCCAGCCAGAAATCACAGGAATATTCATCCTGGTCCCCCGGGATTGTCTGCCTTCTGGTCCAGCACCCCGCCTCCCCACCTCCTATACTCCCGAAAGAACCCGGGGCCAGGATATCCAGTCCTAGAATCCAGGAGGCACTCTCAGTAGCATTCAGATATGCAGATGCCAGACTCAGCATGGAAGTCTCCAGCACGTTATGGGCCAGATATCAGCATACCATCTACGTTCCCCTATCTCCAGGCTCAGGAGACAAGCCCCCATGTTTCTAGCTCCAGGGAACAGAAACACGTTCCAAGGTCCACATGGCCACGGACAGGAAACTCTGTACCACCAGCCTTCTCAAGCATCCAAACCTCCGTTTGTTCAGGTGCAAAACTGTGGGTCCCTCCAGTTACCTCCCTAGAACTTTTGCCTCAGTATTTTCACGACCCGTCCCCAGAAACCCAGAACCACCCAAAGAGTATTTGCAGATCCAGAAATCCACTGGGGCAGCTACCTCTGCAGAAAAATAGTGATTTAAAGATTTATTTATTTTTGTAGAGAGGGGAAAGGAAGAAGAGAGGGAAACGGCAATGTGTGGTTGCATCTCGTGCGCCCCCTACTGGGGATCTAGCCTGCAACCCAGGCATGTGCTTTAGACTGGGAATGGAAACGGCGACTCTTTGGCGCGCAGGCTGGCGTTCAATCCACTGAGCCACACCAACCAGGGCAGAAAATAGCGCTTTAATAAATTACAGGATAGAGGAAAAAATATATACAGGCAGTAGGTGCCGCGAAACCTGAGATCCTAGAAGATTTCGTTTCTGGAGTAAAACATGGGCAGGTTCCTGCCTAACTTGCTCCTTGGGCAACCAGAACCCCAGACCCTCATTCCTTCCTTAGAATCCAGCCCGCTTCCATGAGACCCTGCAGCCCAGTCCTCCGGCCTCCCCCTTCCTCCCCTCCTTCAGGGGATCCTGGCTCCCACCTGCCCTCTCCCCCGGGGCTGCCAGCCCCTCCTCCCAGCCCTCTGCTCTCCCAGGGGTCGCGACATCTGGGCTGAAGTCTGGATCCAGAGCGTGAGTCCCGCGGGCTGGGGTGGCAGCGCCCCGCAGCTCAGCTCCCCCTAGTGGGCCGGGGCGGCAGCCTCATTCTCGAAGACCAGGTTCTCATACACGGCCCCCTTCTCCGGGGGGGCTGGGCAGGACTGCTGGAGGAACCGGAGGATGCACTGGTGCAGGAACACGTACTGGGCCTGGGGAGGGGGCACGCGGGGGGTGAGGCGCGCCCTCCTGAGCCTTGGGGTGCTTTCCCCGGGATTCCGCCTCCACCCGCCGCCGCCCCGTTCCCTAAGGCCCCGAGTCACCTCAGTCTGCACCATCAGGGGCCGGCTTTCCCGCATCTTGCTCACGTAGTGGAAGGGCCCCACGACGCCCTCACTCTGCAGCTGCCGCAGCAGGACATCCAAGGCGATGAGGGTGCCCGTGCGGCCCACGCCGGCGCTGGGCGGGGACAGGGAGGGGTCAGACACGGGAGGGGGTGCTTCGAGACACAGGCAGGGGTCTGTTTTGGGAGCACCCAGCGATTAGACGATTGTGTGAGCAAGACACGGTCCCGGGGAACGGAGTACAAGCGGGGGCGGGGTGCCTGCTGAGGGGAAGGCAATGACATAGGACTCTGGGTGGAGCTCCTTCCACCCTCCAGGCCCACGTTACAGGTGGGGAAACCGGGGCTGAGCCAGGTAAAGTGCCTGGTCCAGGTCACTCGGCTAGTAAGTGACAGAGCTGAGGTTCGCACACGGGAAGACGCACTTCCAAGATGATAACTTAAGAAACCAAGATTTTTTTTCCCCATGGAAGTAAAGTCCAGCACAGGAAATAGAGTCCATAATATTGTAATAACTGCGTACGGGGCCAGGCGGGTCCTTGTAACATTGGGGGTGGTCACTTTGTAAAGTAGAGGCTTGTCTGAACAGTACGCTGTGCCCCCAAAACTAATACAAAATAAGTGGTGAATGGCAACAGGAACGGAAAGATATCATTTTCAAATATCTTAACCATTTTTAAAAAGTAAACATAAAATTCACCGTTTTCAAGGAAACAGTTCCGTGGCAATGTTGTGCAATCATGGCTTCTATCTGGTTTCCAAACACTCATCTCCCCCAAAGGAGGCCCCGGGCCCACTAAGCACTCCCTCCCCATTCTCCTCTCCCTCCAGCCCCTGGCAACCACCAGTCTGTTTTCCGGTGGACGGGCCCGTTCTGGACGTTTCGTGTAAACAGGATCATCCACTGTGGCCTGAGTCCGTCTCCTTTCCCTCGGCCTGCTGTATCCGTGAATCAGAGCTTCCTGCCATTTTAGGGCTCCAGCTAATAGTCTGAACCACTAGGCAAGACCCTTGGCCCGGGGAGGGAGGGAAGCGCAGCCTGCCGGGGCGCCTCCAGGGGGCGCTCTCCTCCCGGGACTGGCACCCAGTGAAATCTTGCCCGCGGGGCTTCAGCACCAACCGGACTGCGACGGAGGGCTGAGGCCAGCAGCCCAGGGAGGGGCTTCCAATGCTTCTCAAAGCCTCTGGCGGCTTCTCCCTTCCGTCCTTCACGCCGCCTCCCTCCTCCTCCTCCTCCAACTCCGCGTCCTCCTCACTCGGGCCTTCTCCTCCTTCGTCTTCTCCGCTTCCTTTCCCACCCATCCATCCATCCATCCATACGCTCGCCTTCAGGCTGCCTCGCTGCCCCTCACCTCTGCCTCCCTCACCTTCTGTCTCTGTCTCCTGTACAAGGTCCCTTGGGCCCACAGAATCCCGTTGTCTGCGTCCCCAGGGTGTCTCTCTCACAAGGACAGGGTGGGGGTCCTCACCTGCAGTGCACAATGGGGGGGCCTCCCCCGGGGTTCTGGTCCAGCCACTGCCTGAGCGTCTTCCAGAAGCCCAGCAAGGGGTCTGGGGAGTGGGGCACGCCGTGGTCCGGCCAGGCCACGTAGTGGAACTGCCGCACGGACAGAGTCTTCTGCTCCTCTGTCTACACCGAGAGAGTTGGGGGAGGAGAGCTCAGAGCGGGGGATGGGGGGCCGGTTTCTGATGGGCGGGGCATCCCTGGGCACAGTGCGGTCCCTTGGGGGAGTGACAGAGGGTCAGGATTCCTGGGGGGGGGGGGTTCTGTGGAAGGGTCTGCCCCAAATGCCCCCCAGAGCTGGCGGGGTCGGGGGGACGCACATGCCGCAGCTTCAGGTCTCGGACCGTCCAGTTCTCCGTCACCTTCTCACCCTTCAGGGCCACTTGCAGGTGCCCGTGGGTGCAGGGCTTGGCGTCAAGAGGCCAATAATGCTCGCACTTCACCTGGGGGAGGATGCGGGGTCAGCGAGCAGGAGGCCCAGCGCGCCCACCCCGAGGCCCCTCACCGGGCCTCGCCCCACAGGCGCACGACGACGGGTGGACTGGGCGCGATGGGGAGGCGGGGCCCTCCGGGAGGGAGCGAGGGAGGTGTGGGCGAGGGCAGCACTGGGATCCGCGTCTCGGGAGGGGTCGCGGATGGAGCTCAGGGGTCCGTCCCCCGGGCGCCGGCACGAACATGTCCTCTCACCCGGCCGAACTCCACGCAGTTGGTGAGCATGACTAGGGTGCGGCTCTGCTGCTCCCACACCAGGCGCCAGAAGTCGCCCACCGTCTGCGGCAGGGGGCCCTGGGCCGCAATGAACTCCTGGGAGCTCCAGAGGCCCTGCCCAGGGGAAGCAGGCGGGTCCTGACGCCCTCGGGCCCCGTCTCAGGCGCCCTCGGCCGCCTCCCAGCCCCCAGCCACCACCTACAGGCACAAAGCTGGCGTTGATGTAGTCGGAGCCTGGCTCCCCCGGGAGGAGCTTCAGGGGCACACGGGACCAGTCGTCTGGGGAAGAGGCCAGCATGGCGGAGCAGAGTCGGGGGACAGAAGGCACGTTGGGGAGCAGACAGACATGGGAGCTCTGGGAGGGAGAAGGACCTCGGCTGGGAGGACTGGGCCAGGGGCAGGAGCCCGTGCGTCACGGGGGACAAGCGATGGACCGGGAATGGGGTGGTGACAAAGTCCCGCCTGGGGACAAAGTCAGCAGCAGCTTAAGACTCACAGGGCAGCACGTTTCTGTAACGGTTCTTGGCGCAGTTCTCAGGAGCTGAGGCCACCGTCTGAGACTGGCCGAGGCCCTCCTGGGCCAAACGCTGGGGGCGGCGGCAGAGGAGGGGGACACGGATGTCAGGGTTCTGCCACCTTCCCCAAGGGGCACTCCGGTCCTCCCTTTGCCTTGTTCAGAGCCTCCCATTTACCCCTCACGCCCTAGGGACCGAAGCCCCGCAGAAATGGAAGCTGCGTGCCACCGTCTCTGGGGGACACCGGGTGACCTGCGGGCTGGTGGAGGCCGGAGCGGGGGCGCCAGGGGAAACCAGGGACCGGCGGGCTGTAAGATCCCACTGACTCAAACACATAAGCTCAGCTGAGAATGTCTGTGGAAGCCCCCTCTGCCCCTCTGTTCTCGCCCCACCGGGTCCCCCTCTGGCCGCGCCCCACCTGGTACTCCTCAGCGAAGCCACAGCTGCTGTCCTTCTCGTTTTTCCTGACATATTCAGCAAAGTCACCCGCCGGGATGTCCCCCAGGAAGCTGGAAGAGGCACAAAGATTTTAACCTCCTCGAGTCTTGCGCTCTTAGGATAGAACAAGAGGTGTTTTCATGGTTGCCTACATGCCCAGAACTGATCCCCAGAAATTTCCGCGCAGGAAGTTTAAGCCCCTCTGAGGCGAGTGTGTGAGGGAGGAGGGGTCACTGATCCTGCCCTGTGACCCAGGCACAGGGTCCTTGATTGATTCTTTTGCCTCTCCCCAAAACGGTCTGCTCACCTGGCCGCTGACTCCTTCCGGCTCCTTCTGTGCCTGGGGAAAGGGGTGTTGACATGAAAGCCTCAGGGAGTGAGGCTGGAACCAGTGGCCCTGACCCCCGCCGGCCCCCACCACCGGGCGGTCGGTCAGTCCTGCGTTGAGTCTCACCTCTTCCTCAGGAAGAAAATCAGCAGGCCCATCAGGACAAGAAACAGGAGGACACCGACAACGGCCCCGGCGATGACCCCTGGCAGGAGGAGGCGTGGGGAGCGTTGGAGCCCAGGCCCTGTCTCCCGACGGCCCCTCTCTCCCGTCTCCACCTTTACCCCAGACGGGGCTCCGAGGGCCCCCAGGGGCGATGCTGGGCACAGAGGGGAGAGGAGGAATCTCTCCCCTCCGCCTCTCACTTCCCCAGGAGCCTGGTCCGAATGCACCATCTTCTCAGATGGCCTGGCTGCTAGAGCAACAGTCGCCTGCTTTACCCAGACCATGAGTTCTCAGCAAAGGCGACTCTGCCCTGCCAGTGACGTCGGGTTCTATCCGGGGACATTTTAGTTGTCACAACCGGGGTACGGGTGCGCCTCGCATGGAGTGGGCGGAGGCCAGAGATGCTGCTCAACATCCCATCATGCAGAGATCAGCCCGCACGTAAATAGTGCCAAGGCTGGGGGCCCACTCCCTGCGGTGGACGGCACGGGTGGGTCCCCCCAGAACTGAGGCTCATCTTCTCCGACGTCCTGTTTGCTAGGAGCTCGGCTCCCTCGCAGCGGGGCCCACGGAGGCTGGCGGTGCCCAAGGTCTCGCGGGGTCTGTCCTCAGGCCCTGGCCTGACGGTAGACGCCAGCCCACGGCCTACCTCCGTCAGCCATGGTGGCCCTAGGCTACAGCACCTTTTCTTTTTTTGCATTATGGTTTTTTAAATCCTTCCCCCAGGATAGGATGATTGATTTTAGAGAGAAAGGAACGGAGGGACAGAGACAGAGAAACATTGACGTGAGAGAGAAACATCTGTTGGTTGCCACCCGCGCGCGTCCCAACTGGGCATCAAACCCGCAACTATTCGGTGCAGGGGGGTGACGCTCCAATCCACTGAGCCACCCGGCCGGGGCAAGAAGGCGGCTTTTCTTTACGGGTTGAAGAAAATATTCTAAAATTCACAGGGATGATGGTTGCACCCTACGGCGCATGCCCTAAAATCCATTGCGGAGTGCACTTTCAACGAGCTGTATGTTAGGTGACTTTTATCTCAATGAAACTGTTTTAGAGAAAGCAGAACACAAAACACACGCACAAGCAAACAAAAAGACCGCATGGGTGGGTAAGACTCCCTCACAGCAGGGCCCTGAGGGGGTCACGAGAGGCTGCCCCTGTCTGTCCCCCGGGACTCTGCTCACCTGCACTCTGGGTGTGGCAGGTCACGGAGGCAGGGGGGGCCCTCAAGCCGGCCCAGATGGTGGTGACGGTGGCTGCGTAGGACTGAGCCGGCTGCAGACCCCCCACGGACGCACCGCTCTCGCAGGAGGACCTGTCCTGGGAGCTCTGCTGCCCGCCCACCTGCACCTCAAAGGCCTCGAAGCCTCCCAGGGGGCAGGACCAGGTCAGGGTGACCCCATAGCCCCCAGAGGTGCTGACGCAGGAGGTGATGGAGACAGGGTCCGGCTCTGAGCGGAGAGGACGAGAGGAGTCCGTCAGTATGTGCCATCCAAGGTGGTTTGCCATCCCTCCCCCGCTTTGCCAAAGGTGATGCCAATTCTGTGACAACAAGCCCATCCTTCCCTTTCCCAAACCAAAACCCCTCTTCATCCCTCCAGTTTTGGCTTCCTTCAGTGGACTCAGAAACTACAACTCCCATGAGGCCTCTGGCTCTCTGTACCACTGTAGCTTATAAAGTCACAGCCCCATGGCCTCATGGGACATGTAGTCCAGTCACTTCCACTAGCCAGCAAGGTCGAACCTAAGCCCCTCCTCTCCCAGGTAAAAGGGAGCCCCGTCTCACCTGTGGAGGCGTGAAGACTCTGTGTGGCGCTGGCTGCGTCGCTCCTCTCTGCCCGCACGCTGAAGTTGTACAGAGTGCCGGGTTCCAGGCCCTTCAGCACGTACCAAGTCTCGTTGGTCCTGCCTGTCTCGTAGGCTCGATATCCTTGGGGATCTCGTTCCCTCTGGGGATGTCCCGCACTGGCCCACCAGATGCCATATGTGTAGAGGTGAGGGCGCGGGTCTTTGGGGGCCTCCCACCGCAGGGCAATTGAGGTGTTGGTCTGATTTTCCTTCTGCAGGGCTGTGACTTCGCTGGGAGCTGAGAATAGAGACAGGCACCCAAGGGGCTGAATCCTCAAGGACCCTCAGACCCAAGCCTGCTCCCCTCCCCTTCCCTGCAGAGCTGGGGTGCTCCGGTCACCGGACGGGTCTACTTCCTAAGGAGCCAAACCGCAGGAAAGACGGGGGACCAGGGTCGCCCGGTCCTCTCTGCCTTGAGTCTGCAGTCCTGGGTCCCACACCAGCTCTCTCCACAGGCAGCCAGAGGCAGGGTCCCTGGTCACTTCCAGACACACCCAGTTTCTAGACGGAGCTGCGGACTCCAGTCTTCTCAGCCCAGATGGCCCAAGACTGAAGGTTCTCGGTTCTGTCCATCAACACGGACCTCGTCCCTGGGGTATATGGTCCTTCTAATGCTCGGGAGCTTCCCTGTGCATGCCTGGAGGCCAGCTGCGCTGGTTCAGCTCATTCACCAGCACAAGCTGTGGACAACTGTCTAGCTTTGTCCCCCAAGACAGGCCCTCACGGTGGAACACCCTGGTTGCTGAGGACAGACACCCCCAGGAAGCAGACCCTCACGCTCAAGGTCGGCGGATGGCAGACAGGTCGGCAAGCGCGGCTCATCTCCCAGGCGCGCCCCACGCCCTCCATCACTGTCCGCCCCCTCCCAGCGGTGCTGCACTCAGAACTAGGCTGAGTCTCACCGGTGGCCCCAGCGAAGGTCTTGTTGTCACTCCTGACCCCGTTTCTCTCTGCCCAGATGGTGAAGGTGCACAGGCTCCCAGCTTCCACTTCCTTCAGTGTGATCCCGGTATCAGTGGTGGTGTGGGTCATAGTACTGAGCCGACCCTCCTGGATCCACGAGACCCCGTAGGTGTAGCTCTGAGAGTCCGGGCCGTCCGGGGCTTCCCAGCGCAGGCTGATGGAGCTGGTGGTCCGAGCCTCCACCCTCAGGTTCCTGACGGGGTTCGGGGCTGAGGATCAAGACAGGAGGAGAAGTCAGCTTCAGTATCTGGTTCCCACAACTCCAGATCTTTCTTTGCCACAGGACTCAGAAAACGTGGGCAGGTCATGGGTGGTGTGGCTCAGTGGGTTGAATGCAGGCCTGCAAACCAAAGGGTCGCTGGTTCCATTCCCGGCCAGAGCACAAGCCTGGCTTGCAGGCCAGGTTCTCAGTAGGGGGCGCACTAGAGGTAAGCACACACTGATGTTTCTCTCTCTTTCTCCCTTCTATTCCCTCTCTAAAAAGAAATAAATAAAACCTTTTAAAGAAAAAAAAAATGTGGGTGTGGCCTGGACCCACCAGCCCAGCACGACAGCTTCCAGGTGACACAGAGCCTGGAAGGACAACTTGTGAAATGCACACCAAGTCTGAGGAACGGGTGTGAAGTGAAGCCTGTGACATGTCATTGGTGCTCTTATGTCAACTCTGCATCAGCAGGATAACATCTGGTCAAACCACACGGACAGAGTTGGACGGACTGGATTTGCTCCCCTGATTTATTTTTCTTTTCTTTTTTTTTTCTATACCTGAGGACCTGCTTATTGATTTTAGAGAACAGGGAAGGGAGGGAGAGGTGGAGGGAGAGAAATTTCGAAGTGAAAGAGGAACATCCATCGGTTGCCTCCCGTATGTGCCCTGCGTGGGGACTGAACCCCCAACCCAGACGCGTGCCCTGATCGGGAATCCAACCCACACCTTTCTGGTTTACGGGACGACGCCCCAACCAACCGAGCCACGCCAGCCAGGGCAGAGTGATAACATTTTGGATCTACTGGGTGAAAGAAACTATGTCTTTAAAACAAATGTCACCTGTTTCCTTTTACTTATTTCATGGTGGCGATAGAAAAACGGAGTCTGCACATGCGACTTCCACTGTATTTCTACCTGTCTACAAACCTGCCGTGTTCTCCTACGGGTGCGCAAGCCCCCTCGCTTTAGAAAACAAACAACAACAGAAAAGCAAACAGGGGCTGCCTCTCACCTGTGGCGGCCCTGACGGTCACCGGGGAGCTGCTGAGTCCGCCTTCCTCCACCCACACGGAAAACTCATACGAGGACCCGGGGTCAAGTCCCTCTGCTGTGAAACTGGTGTCTGTCGTGTTCCGGGTCTCATTTTGGTCACCCGGTCCGGTCCACCGGACCCCGTAGGTGTAGTTCAGGGCGGGGCCGGCGGGCGCCTCCCAGCGCAGGCTGACGGAGCTGGTGGTCTGCGCCTCCACCCTCAGGTTCCCGACGGGGCTGGGGGCTGGGACGTTAGGAAGCAGGATCAGAATCAGCAGGGGGCAGAGGAGGGGGACACTCAGTGGGTGTTTCTAACCCCTCAAGCCCCTAGCCCGGCCCCCGCCACCGGCCTGGTTGCTAGGCAGCCCCTTGTATTATGGTCTAGAAAGCTCCCCAGCCCCTAACTCAGAGGCAGGAGGGCCTTGGGATAACCCCTGGGACGTGGCCAGTTTCTCCCGGAGCCTCCCTGAGGGTCTGGCCCAGCGAGGCCTGAGGACATGCTGGCCACCCTTTGCTGACTCCTCCCCAGGAGCAACCTCAGCCGCCCCCTACCACCTCCAGGGGACAAAACAGTGAGCTTCTCACCTGTGGACGCGGGGAGGGTCACAGGGGAGCCGGAGACTCCGTTCCTCTCCGCCCACACGGAAAACTCATACGAGGATGCCGCGTGAAGTCCGTCCACTTTGTAACCGGTGTCTGTCGTGTTCCGGGTCTCATTTTGGCCACCGTCTGCAGGCCACCGGACCCAGTAGGTGTAGCTCTCAGGGTCCGGGCCGGCGGGGGCCTCCCAGCGCAGGCTGATGGAGCTGTTGGTCTGGGCCTCCACCCTCAGGTTCCCGACGGGGTTCGGGGCTGAGGGTCGGGACAGGAGGAGAAGTCGGCTGAGGTCTCTGCTCCCCACATCTCCAGCCCTTCCTTTGCTGGGGACTCAGAGAACGTGGTGCAGAGGCTGGACCCAGGAGCCCAACACGGCAGCCGTGACTTCCAGGGGTCACGGAGCCCTGGAAGGGTGGCTTCTAAAACGCACTCTGTGTTCAAGGACTGGGTGTACAGTGAAGCCTGTGACATGTCACGGGTGCTCTTATAGTGACTCCATGTCGGGATGATAACATTTGGTCAAACCACACGGACACAGTTGCACAGGCTGGATGTGTTCCCTTTATTTGTTTATTCTTAATTTTTTTCTTTCATCCTCACCCAAGGACGCGCTTATTGGTTTTAGAGAGGGGCGAAGGGAGGGAGAGAGAGAGGGAGAGACACATCGATGTGCGAGAGGAACATCCATGGGTTGCCTCCTGTATGCGCCCTGCCCGGGGACCGAACCCTCAACCCAGGAATGTGCTCTGACTAAAATGGAACCTGCGACTTTTTGGTTCACAGGACAATGCTCCAACCGTCCAAGCCATGCCGGCCAGCACAAGGGATGACATTTTGGATCCCCTGAGCTAAAGAAACTGTTTTTATAATGAAGTCCACCTGTACGCTTTCCTTCACTCAATGGGGCCAACAGAAGGCCTGAGTCTCGCCCTGGCTGCTGCGGCCCCGTGGGTCGTCCATCAGCCAGTGAACTGAAAGGTCGCCGGTTCAACTGTCGCACAGAGCACAGGCCTGGGTTGTGGGCCAGGCTCCCAGGACGGGGTGTGTGAGAGGCAACCACACAGTGATGTTTGTCTCCCTCTTTTTCCGTCCATTACCCTCTCTCTGAAAAGTAAATAAAATCTGGAAGGAAGGAAAGAAGGACGGAAGGGGGGAAGGAAGGAAGGAGGGAGGGAGGGAAGGAAGGGAGGGGGGGGGGGAGGGAGGGAGGGAGGGAGGGAAGAAGGGAGCTAACTTGAGTCTACACACGCAGCTTTTATTCTACTTATATCTGTTTACAGAAGCTGCCATATTCTCATACGGGTTCGCAAACACTGTCAACCTCTTCCTTTTAGAAAACAAACAGCAACAACAAAAAAATTCAGCAGAGGCTGCCTCTCACCTGTGGCGGCCCTGACGGTCACCGGGGAGCTGCTGAGTCCACCTTCCTCCACCCACACGGAAAACTCATACGAGGACCCGGGGTCAAGTCCCTCTGCTGTGAAACTGGTGTCTGTCGTGTTCCGGGTCTCATTTTGGTCACCCGGTCCGGTCCACCAGACCCCGTAGGTGTAGTTCAGGGCGGGGCCGGCGGGCGCCTCCCAGTGTAGGCTGACGGAGCTGGTGGTCTGCGCCTCCACCCTCAGGTTCCCGACGGGGCTGGGGGCTGAGGAGTGAGGAGGAGAGTCCCGTGTCAGCAGAACAGCACCCGCTCTTTGCCTACCTCCCATCAGCCCCGGCTGGATCTTTGCGCCCTCCATGGAGCCTCGCCCAGAGGCTCGTGGGAGTCGAGGTGCCAGCTCCCAGGGGGAATCAGCGGGGATCACTCACCGGCTGCCCGGGCCCCTGGCCAGCTGCACAGGCCCTGGGGAGAGCCCAGAGGGGAGAGTCAGAGTCGGCCGGCCCCAGCCCAGGTGAGGCCGGGCGGCTGGGCCAGCAGCCTCCAGCCTCGGCCCCACCCCGTTGTTGTTGCTGCTGCTGTGCATGGTGTCCCCTCCCCCAGGCCCCGACAAAGGTCGCCCCAGCAGCCTGCCGTCTTTGCTGGGTGTGTGTTGGGGCTGCATAGAGCCCGGATTTCAGCGGCCCCAGAGCTGGGGTTGGCTCCCCCGATGAGGCTGGGAAATAAGCTTAATGGTCTCGCTGCCCAAAAAGTATGGGGCTTGGAAGACTAGAAGCAGAAAAGGACGCAATGTATGGCTGGTTAAAAAAATACTACGAAAATAAAAGAAAAAAGAAAGTCAGCTGGGAATGGGGAAGCGACTGAGGCTGGGGACCAAAGGCCAGAAACCCAGTCTGATAGAGGAGGCCAAAGGCCTGGAATACAGAGGACAGGCCAGGGGCCTGGACTCCTGGGTATGACGGGGGAGGGGCCGGGGCCTGGACTCCTGGGTCTGAGGGAGGCGGGGCTGCAGCCTGTACCCCGGGGGTCGCTGTAAACAAGAGTTTACAGACACAGCCACAGCTAAGGGCTCGTGTGTAAGACTCCCCAACAGTCTCCCCAACCTAGGTGCCCGCTTCCTCTCCTGGGAACCAGCAGTCCGTACTCCCTCAGGGCCGCAGTGGGGGACCCCAGCTCCCCCTTCCCCCAGACTCAGCAGCAGCCCCTCCTGCCCTCTCCTGAGGCCCCAGGCAGCCCGCTGGGGACACTCACCAGCAGCAGCAGGAGGCTCCCCCAGGCCCTGAGGCCCCCACCAGACCCGGTCATGTCTGTGGACACTCTGAGGGACCCAGGTGTCCCAGTCCTGGACCTTCCACCTGCTGGACTTCAAATGCCAGCATTTCCCCTTTCCCGTGAGGCCACAGGTCAGGTGGGGAAGGGAGGAGGAGGAGGAAGTGGAGGCTCCAGGGAGAGTCTCCAGCCCCGCCCTGTCCCTCTGCCTGGGTCTTGGCCTCTGGACCGTCCCTGGTCCGGAGGGAACCACAGGTCAGGGCCCTGCGTCCCCGCGGGCGCGGGAACGCACAGCGCAGGTACCAGCCTGTCTCCTGGCTTTTTACAGCAGCTACACAGAAGTTCTCCGATTCTTTCATAGGTACCCCTGGCTCTTCAAACAGCAGACACATGCCGCTCTGGCAAGTTCCTTCTCCATCAGCCACGGCCTACAGCCTCTTCCAGCTCTGGCTGACCCCAGGTACTTGACCACTCCCTGCTGCATGAGCTGACCTAAGCAAATGTCTCATTACAGGCCTCAGAACGCGGCACGTGGCCTTTGGAGGGCAGAGGCGAGTCTCTTCCTCTCTGCCCCGCTGGCACCCGGCCACAGAGGGCGGCTCCGGACACATCGGGAGTCTGGATGTGATTCTGTGCCTCACGTTCCCGGAGTCTGCTGTCTGCGATCTGGTCTCACGTTCCACTCTGTTCCCACCTTCCTTGCCCCGTGCTGGCGGGCCAGCCCAGCCCCCCACGGCACCGATCGCCTGGTGTCCGTCCCAGCCACGCAGTGGGGAGCCCAGGGCGGGGTACCCCGGGGAAGGACAGAGCTGCCTGCCCTCGCTGCAGGAGGACGCACGGGCCCTGGCTGCCCTCCCTCACGGACCAAAGCACGACACGCCGCAGGACTCGGGGGAAGCCTGAGCAAGGGAGCTTCTGGGGGCCGCACGGACCCCCAGCTCGGTTCCCAAAGCTGCCAGCACACCCGGAGGTCCTTGGGGAAGCCACGGCTGCCTTTCTTCTGATGTCATCAGCGAAACACTCAGCCACGATGTCCTGGGAAGACCCGGGCGGATCTCCGTGGGGGGAGGAAGGACGTGGGGATCTCTTCCCCTGGGCCCCCGAGAGCAGAGCTGCCTGTCCTGCCACCTGGCCCTGAGGAACAAAAGTGGACTCTGTCTCAGTCCTGTCGTGACGTTTAGCAACATCCTCACTAGGGGAGGGGCACCCGGAACCCGGTCTCGGCATCGAGCTCTCACCCCATCCGTCCTGCCATCCGTCCACACCCCAGCCCTAGACCACCGCCTCTCGCTTCCGTCTCCCGACTCACCTATTCTGGACACTCCCTATGAACAGGATTCCATGAGAAGGGGCTTTTGGAACTGGCATCTTCCATTCACGGGAAGCTTTTTAAAGATTGTTTAAAATTTATTTTTTTAGAGAGAGGGGAAGGGAGGGAGAGAAACATCACTGTGTGGTTGCCTCTCGCACGCCCCTCGCTGGGAACCTGGCCTGCAACCCAGGCATGTGCCCTGACTGGGAATTGAACCGGCGACCCCTTGGTTTGGAGTCCGGCGCTCAATCCACTGAGCCACATCAGCCAGGGCCAGTTTTTATTTTTTATTATTATTATTATTTTTATCCTCACCTGAGGACATGCTTATTGAGAGTGAGAAAAAGGGACAGAAACACCTGTCGGTTGCCTTCTCACACACGCCTCGACCAGGGACCGAATGTGCAACCCAGGCACGTGCCCCGACCGGGAATCAAACTGGCCACCTTTCGGTGTGCGGGGCGACACTCCAGACCTGCGGTCTCATCGGCCAGGGCGTTCATGGTAAGGTGTTCAAAGCTGGTGCATTTTGTAGCCTAGAACAGACCTTACTCCTGTTTATGACCAAATAATAGTCCACAGGCCCAAGTTTTCCAGAGGCCATGACTGGCAGGAGGTGACAGCTGCTCTGCAGAACGAGACCGTGGAGAAGCCAAGGACTGCCCCACACCGCCAGACCACCAGGGGGCAGCGGGGGGGAGGCACGGGGACCGCCCCCACAGGCCTCGGACAGAACCCACCCTGCTGACACCTCGATTTGGCCTCTGGCTTCAGAAGTGCCCTGAAGTGAGAAAGCTCCAGCTCCTCAGCAGTTTCCACTGGGGTGGGGCTTCATCTGTCCGGAGCCTCCCCCCTCCATGATGGACAAGGCCCGGAGGGGTCTGGGTAGCCCAGCCGCAGGTGGTCCTGACCACCAGGTGGGCGTGGGGCAGGCGCTGCCCTGAGCTCCTGAAGAGTGTGCAGCCACCCAGAACCCCGGCCTCTCCCCCGGCCTTGCTGCCGCACTCAGGGCTCAGCAGGCCCAAGGCTTTCTTCTGCAGGGAGCGGGGGCCCTGGCCTGCGGGGGGAGCAGGGACTGAAAGCCGGGGTGGGCTCTGGGATGGCCCTAGAGGCACGTTCTGGATGTAAAGTCTCCTTCCTGCTAAGGGACAGGGAATAAGAAGCACCACTGATAGGTACAAAATAGACGGGGGGTGGTTAAGAACAGTACAGGAAATGGAGAAGCCAAAGAACTTATATATATGACCTGTGGACTTGAACTAAGGGGGTTTGCTGGAGGGGAGTACTGGGTGGAGGGGGGCCAAGGGGAAAACCTGGGCAAACTGTAGTATCATATTCGATAAAATGGACTTTTAAAAGTTCCCTAAACAATGCTATGGATGGGAAAGTCCCCTCTCCGCTATAAGAGTCTCTTGAAGCATGTCCTGGATGGAAGTCTCCTCTCTGCTATGAGAGTCCCTCGAAGCCCATTATAGAAGTCAGGCAGGGTATGGTCTTGTGCTGGAATGCAGACCCTAAGGCCCTGGGAGGGGCAGTGGGCTGCCAAGGTCACAGCCAGGGGGATGGCTCGCCGGGGTGCCTTCTATTTCTACCCCGTAGCTCCCTACCCCTTCCCAAGGTCCCCCCACCTTCGAGTCTCCTCAGCTCCCCAACCCTCCCCTCTCCACTCCTGATATTGCCTAGGGCTGGAGTGGGTTGAATCATGTCCCCTAGAAACAGGTGTCCAAGTCCTAAGCCCCAGTCCCTATGGATGTGACATTTAGGAGCACGGCCTTTGGAGGAGTATGCTAAGGGTCTCCCAATGAGGTCATCCTGGATTTAGGGGCCACCTGAAGTCCAGTCACCGGTGCCCTTAGGACAGGACACACAGAGGGAGGCCGCCACGTGAAAAGGGATGCGGAGGCTGGAGGGCCGCCGGAAGCTGGAGAGGCAGGAGGGACCCTCCCCGGAGCCTGGACGGAACAGCTGGCACCTCAACTTTGGACACCTGGCCGCCAGGACCACGAGAGGCTGAACTTTTGCTGTTTTAAGCCACCCAGTTTGCGGTCATTTGTGACGGCAGCCACTGGGACCAAATATCTTCCTGGCCTCAGATCTGTAACATCACCCCAACGGCGGGGGGTCCATGTCCCATGAGCCCTGGGCCCCGGTGAGTTCACCGTGTGTATAGCAACCACGGCACCGTCTGCTCGAAAATGTCATCCGAGGGGGACTTTCGCAGGAGTATTCTTACCACAGTAACAAAAAGCCAGCGCACACCTTGGCGGATGTACCTAACGTCACCAATTGTACACTTCCAGGGGTAAGTTTTGTTGTAAGAGAAGAAGGAAAAAAAAAAAAAAAAAGGCCCTGGCTGGTGTGGCTCCGTGGATTGAGCACCGGCCTGTGAACCAAAGGGCCGCTGGTTCAGTTGCCGGTCAGGGCACGTACCCGGGTTGCGGGCCAGGTCCCCAGGAAGGGGCGTGCGAGATGCAACCACACGTTGATGTTTCTCTCCCTTTTTCTCCCTCCCTTCCCCTCTAAAAATAAATAAAATTTAAAACAAACAAACAAAAACCCTTCTGCTGTCATTGCGATTCCCCCCTCCCCACCTCTCCCCTAATAAAGGCAATGCTGTTTCAACGTCTCTTTTACTCAGACACCAAATGAACAGGTTAGGGCCAGAGAGGAGGGGGCCACAGGACATGGGAGGCGGCCACTTGAGGTCACAGGAGCAGGTGGGGGCCTGGAGAGGGCTGGGCCTGGGTCTGGCCGAGGGGCCTGGAACCCGGAATCAGGACGGAGGGAATGTGTTCGGAACTCGGCGGTGGATTCGGAATTCTGCCAGCAGCGGTCCCTGCGCGCAGCGGGGAACAGCGGCCCGCGGGCGGGGTCCTGGGCGCTGCGAGCCGGCCCCCGAGGGCGCTTCCCCCGGCGGGGCCAGGCCGCGAGGCCCCTGTTCCTGCAGGAGGGGAGCGGGCGGACGCAGGCCCGTCTGGGCCCCCGGTCAGTTGGTCTTGAGCCTGGGGCCCTGGAAGGCCGACAGGGCGATGAAGAACTGAGCGGCGTAGTAGGTGGCCATGACGAGCAGGCGGCCGTGGGCCAGGGGCTGGATGAAGGTGTGCCAGGACAGCACGCTGTCCGAGATGGCGAAGAGCAGGGCGCCCCAGCGGGCCCTCCCGCCCCGGGCCAGGCCACGCCACAGCATGACACTCAGGGCCAGGCCGTAGGCCACCAGGGGCAGGACCATGTCGGGCTGCAGGTGTGACAGCAAGAGGCAGGAGAACGGGAGGGAGAAGAGGAGGACGGGCAGCAGCAGGCCTGGCTGCAGGAGCCTGAAGCCGAAGGCCCAGATGTAGAGCAGCTGGGCCTGGCCGAAGGCGAGGACACCTGGGGGGGCGGGGGGGCGGGCGCCGGGTGAGGGTGAGGCCTGCGTTCCGCACGGCCCAGGCACAGTGGAGGGGACTGCGCCGCGCCCCCCCTCCCCCACCCCCGGTCTCCTAGGTGGTCGCGCCTGCCGTCGCCCCCCGCCCGCTCTTGGGCCGTGGGTGTCCATCCTCCCCCTACCCAGCCCCTGCGCAGCCCCCACTTGGCCTCAGCACACCGCCGGGCGGCCGGCTGCACACTCCCGCCCCAGGGCCTTTGCGCGTGCTGGTCCTGCCCTTCCTGCGCGCCCACCCAGATGTCCCCTTCTCTGCGAGGCCGCTCTACTTAAGGCTGTGCCGCTTGGACCCCACACTCTACGCCTGCCGCTCACAGCAGCTCCAGTCGGTCGGGCGCGCTCCCTGAGGACAGGGGTCTGGGGGCGTGTCGGTAACTGCTACCCCCCACCCACCCTGTGCCTCCGCACGCCACCTGGCTCTCCCGGCAGGCAGGTGCTATCAGGAAGCCGCCCGCCCCTTGGCGTGGGGGTCCGCAAGGGACGACGCGCCCCGCTCACCATAGAGGAAGGCATGGGGCCAGATGAGACAGACGTCCCCGACAGCCGAGAACAGCAGGGCCGCCTGCAGGAGGGAGCTGCAGTCCCCACCAGGGTGCGCCCGGAGGGCCCCGGCCAAGGACAGCACAGGCAGGCACTTGACCAGCGCGCCAACCCAGGACGGCGGGTCGTCCGGGATCCAGAGCAGGAAGTAGGCAGCGCAGGTGACGAAGAAGGGGATCAGGCTGCCTAGGTGTGGCTGCTTTGGGGATGACGGGGCCGCTGAGACCCTGGCGCTCAGCCCAGCCCGCGGCCCCTGGGACGAGGCTCCAGAACCCACCTGGCCTCGGGGTCCCCGTCAGCCCCAGCCCTCGGAGACCAGGCTCCACCGGCTGGGCCTCCGGTCTGGGGGCTCCTGCCCCACCCCCACTCAGGGACCCCAGGCCGTCCAGCTTCACAGAGCCCAGCCCCCCGGAAGCCAAGGCCCAGCCCCCCTCCCACACGCAGGGCTCTCACTTGGGCCGAGAAGCGAGCATCTCGGGGCAGACCCTTTTTCCGGGCATCCATGGTGGCCGGTGGCACCCCCCAGAGTGGCCTGTGTGTGGGCACCGACGGCTTTAGAGGTGGCGGGGACGGCGCGTGGTTACACGTTAACCCAGGAGCGTCCTGTGGACTCTGGGGCCGATAACAGCCAGGGAGATGCTGCCCCCGCCCCGGGATGGCCCTGGCTGGCGCCGGCAGATAAGGTGCCCACCAGGAAGCAGGGGTCCCTCCTGGCCCACAGCCCCTGCCCCCTGGGACCCGGCTTGGTTCCCCTCTACCGTGGGCGCAAATGCCCCTTCCGGCCCCGTGCCCAGCCGGTCCCCAGGGGCACACGGCACCACCATCCTCTCTCCGCCCGGGGAGGACCCCCTGCCGGAGGGAGGCGCAGGATGAGACCCCTGTCCCCGCACCCCCAGGGTCCCTCCTGCACCTGAGCCCCCTTCCCCCCGGGGACCAGCACTGCCCCTGTGGCCCCTACCACAAACACTTCCTGATCAAACAAACACCAGTGATGAGTCACCAGGGCCCCCGGCCAGGCCAGGGACAGGGCGGACCAAGGGCTGCCACACAGGCCCGCGCAGCACCCCGGCCTGCTCTTTGGCCTTCCCGGGGCGTCCCTGGCTGCCTCCGACCACCACTGTTCCAGCAGGGGGAACAAACTTCGGGACGTCGCTCCTGCAAGGTCCCCTCCGTGGCCGGGGGTTCTAAGGGGACCCCGCAGGACAGCTCTGGAGACCAGGTCCCGGGCAAGGCTGGGCAATGCTCAGGCCCCCCGCCCCGCCCCCCCAGAACGCAAGGGCCAAGCGGCAGACGCCTTAAACTGTCTTTCTTTCTTTATTTATATTTGCAATATGAAACAGAAGCTCGGCACAAACACACGCACACTCACGCCGGCCTGAGAGGGGAGCTGGGACAAGGTCACTTGGCAGCAGGCTGGACTCCAGACCCTCAGGCACTGGAGGGGGACCCCAGCCGGACCCCCACCACACCCCGGCCCCAGGGTCTGCAGGAGGCGCAAGGCTCTCTCGAGTGTGTCAGGGCCTCGTGGGAATGTCGCCAGAGGGGCCCCCTTGCCCGGGGCCACCGCCCCCCGAGCTGCCGGGGCAGGCGCAGGGCCCTTTAGCTCCCAGCCCGGGAAAGTGCAGGGTCTGGGGCGTGGGGCGGGGCAAAGGCACGGCCCCACTCGGGCCCCCGGGTGGACCTGAGCTGAAAGGCCGCGTGTGGAGTGTGGGTGTGGCATCTGCACCGAGGGGGCACGGCGGCGGGGGGGCGACGCCCGGGGACCCCAACGCAGCCCCTCTGGGACCGGCAGGAGCCCAACCCCCGCCCCGCCCCGCCCCAGGCCTGGCTTTTATCTGGCTCTTCTCCCAGCCCCTCTCCTCCCTCGACATATATATAATATATAATATAGGTCTCTCTCTCGCCTTTCTCTCTACTCGACTCTCTTTATTCTAGAAGATGAAACTCCATCATTTCTTTTCTCAGTGCAAATAGGGGCGGTAGGGCCTGTCTCCCTGGCACCAGCCTCCTGGGAGTCCAGAGGAGAGGACGTGGGGCGGGGAAGGAGACGGGAGGGGGTGACGGGGCCACGGGCCCTCCTGGGACCCACCCTGACCCCGCCCGGGCAGGGTCCGCGCACAGGACGAGGATTCGGCCACTGCCACTGGAGCCAGGCGGTTACCTGGGAACCAACAGGGAGATGGCGTGAGGAGCCTGCCGGCCCAACTGCCGCCCCCGCTCCCGGCCCCGCTGCTCACTGGGAGCCTGGGGACACCGGCCCTCCCTGGGCAGAGCTGCCGGGCACTGGAGGCGGCTGGAGGGCCTGGGCACTGTGGGGAGAGAGGGATGTGAGAGGTCAGTGCCGGCCCCCACGCCAACGCACCCACCAGCCGCGAGGCCACCCACGCTCACCTCTGGCTTTTGGGGAGCCCCAGGGGTTCTGGGCTCTTCTCCCCCTCCGTGGCCTGGAGAGGCTGGGGGGCCCCAGGGGCTGGCACAGAGGTAGCAGGGTCTCTGGTTGCTCTGTGGGGGGGTCAACGGGGTGGTCACCAACGGCCTGCTGGGCGCTGTGGCCCAGAGCCGACGCATAAGCAGGGATGGGGCGCGGACGCCCCCGGACCCCGGGAGCCGTCCCCGGCAGGAGCTCCAGGTCGCTGAGGGCCTGGGCCCTGCACACTCCCTGTCCACCCTGGCCCTTCGGGAAGCCCCCCACCCCCGCCCACGGGGCCGGGCTGGTGGCCCTGGGCTCCGGGATCCGGGCGAAGCCCCGTGAGCACAGGCACAGACCTGGGATCCTCCAAGGGCCGCCTGGGGCAGCTCGGGGCAGGGACAACCCCCGGGGTCAGGCCCCAGCCACCTCCCCCAGCGCGGCCCCCCACAAGCCGCTCCCAGTGGGTCACCTGTCCAAGGAGCTGGGGGCGGAGGTTGTCCCTCTGAGGGCGGCCTGGAGGTCCCTGACGCTGACCAAGGCCTGACAGGGCGCTGTGCGGAGGGGAGGCCGGGAGAGTGAGGCTCGGCCCAGGCCTGCAGCCCGGGGGGCGGGGGGCGCGGGGACGGGGGCACACCTGAGGGCTCCGCTCCTTTGCCGCAGTCTGAGGCTTCCTGAGGTGCAGAGGAGGGCGCGGGGTCCTGGGACCTGGGAGGCGAGAGAAGCAGCCCGAAGGGCAGCTGCAGTCGGCCCGGCGCCTCGGGGCACCAGGACCCGGTGCTGCACCCCCACCGCGCCTCCCGGCCTCACCTGAGCTGCAGGGGACTGGGGGCCGCAGGGCCGGGTGGGCTCAGGGCAGGGACACAGAGGGGCCCCTGCAGGGCGGGCGGCCCAGAGCGCGGCTCCTTCTCCCGGGAGTCCAGGGGGCCGGTCGGGGTGTCTGTAGGCACTGGGTCAAAGGTCGCCGTCCAGCTGGGGCCTGGGGCGAGGACAGGGCCGCGGTCAGTGTGGCAGGCAGACGCCCGCGTGCGCCCGACGCCGCCTCACCCCGCACGTTCACCCACCAGGAGGCTGGGGGCTCGGGCTGGGGTAGGAAGAGGGCCTGGCCTCATTTTGGGCCACCCGACCATCCTCCTCGTCCTCCTCCTCTTCATCCTCGTCCTCGTCCTCATCCTCCTCGCTGTCCGTGCTGCCTCCGCTCCTGCCCCCAGAAGCCAGCCATCAACCACCGCGCTGCGGCAGGGACAGAGGGGACGGCGCCCCGTCCCCTGCAGGCAGCGTTGTGAAGGAACCGCAGGGGTAAACCGGGGGGCGGGGGGCGGGACGGGCCTCCGGGCCCAGGGCGTGTGGGTGGGGACACCGCGGGCTCCCTTCCGGGAGGGCGGGCGACAGCCCCGGGCCAGAGTCAAAAGGGGACAGCTCCGCCCATCTCCCCCACAGGGACTCCCACGCCCGCTCAAAGGGACGCCCCCCGGCTGAGTGCAGCCACTCCAAAGGCACCGCGCGCGACTTACACATGACTCAAGACCGCGGACAAAGCCCGACTGGCCACTGTGGCCACCCATGGGTGGCACTGAGCGAATGCTGGCCGCGCCACGGTCCCCCAGTGAGGAGGGCTGCGCCTGCTCAGCGCTGTGAATACGTTACACCCTCAGCAAAGAGGGGGCGGAGGGGGGTCCCCGAGCCCCCAAGGGCAGCTCCAGACCCGCCGCGTGCACCTCACCGAGTGCCCCCGGGCCAGGAGCAGGCCGGGCCCCGCCCCCACACCTGCTCAATGTCGCCCTGGGCGGGGAGTAGGCGAGAGTGACCCGCAGAGCGTCCGGAACAAGGGGGCAGAGGCTCCGACGGCAGCCTCGACGGCAGCCCCGAGTGCGGGACGGCCTGTGGCCGGCGGGGAGCCGCCCTGGCGAACAGGTCCCCTCCCGTCAAAAAGGAAAACACGCTCAGGAGCAAATTTAACAGAAGCAGCACAAAACTTCCACTCTGAAAATTACGAAACACCACCCACAGGAGAACCCTCAGTTCCCGGGAACACGACCGTGCGCAGGGCCCCGGGGACGGCCGCTGCTGGGGCAGCCGCTCCGAGCTCGGGCCCGCGCCGCCCGCGCCCAGCGCCCGCCCAGCTCCCAGCCGGCTCCCGCCTGGACCCTGGCAAGCCGCTCCCGAAGGGTCAACACGACCTGCAACGAAGGGGCTCGACCCGCCCTTCCCACCTTCAAAACGTACTATGGCACAATGGCGATCAAACGCAAAGACGGACGTCTGGACCAACGGACCGGAGAGGCCAGAAACAAACCGCGCGCGCACACCGGGCTGCCAACAGGGGCGCCGAGCTGCTGGGACGGCGGCGACCCCACACACGGAGAGCGAAGCTGCACCCCGCCTGCCGCTCGGAACGCACCGAATCCTACATCCGAGGGCTAACACGACCGGCTTTTAGGGAGCCACAGTGAACCGCGCCCCGGGACACGGTGGGCCGCACAGCGGCACACTGCAGACGGCCAGTCCCCCCACCGCACCCACCGGGTGGGGGGGCTCCCGAGCCGAAGAGCCAAACCCACCCACAGAGCCCGAGGTCAGGGCAGCGCCCGCGCGCCAACAGGGGTGCCCATGCCTCCTCCAGCAACGGGGTGTCCGCGGGGCCGTACGCTCAGGACTCGTGTCCTCCCGTACCCGCCTGCACGCCCACCGAAGAGGTGAAGCGCCCTAACCCGCCAAGGAGAAACCCTGGGAGCAGAGGCTCAGTGGCAGGCACTGCGCGGCCCGCGCCGGAAACCAAGACGGCCTGGCCCCGCCTGGTCAGTGGCGGCCGGCCAGCCGGCACGCAGGGAGGTCGCCGCGCGCTGGCACACAGCGAGCTGACCACAGCTTACTGACATGGGGCTGCGAGGAAGGGACCGCCACCTGCCGTTTTATCTAGACGAGGAGGCAGAGGAGCGGACAGGACGTGGCACAGCCTTTTCCGAAACCCCCGCGTGACAGCCAACACCAGAGAGCAGAGTCACGGGATGGGACGGCGGCGGCAATGCCGGCGGCGGACGCACCTGAAGGAGCGCCCCCGTGGTCCGGACGCACGCAGGCCTCTACCCTGCTCCTGCAGGGGCCCACCCCGTCGGAACCAAGGCTCCGTCGCTCAGACCTCGCGCGCCCCGGC